ATACTACGGGTGTAAGATTACAATACAACAAGATGGATACTAACCAGAGTTGGATACTTACTACAAGTGTACAATCTACAGAGCTATTAGTACACACGTACACGTACCTTGGATTCTAGGCCTCGACTAACTTACAAGGGTATTGTAGGTTCCGAGCTCAACTTGCCTTACAATAGGCAGTTACCTGATTGGCTAGTCTGAACTAACCAATCAGGGCCTACCACTTATCCATATAGCCCCTCCTCCATCTCTATGTCTGACTCATTACAATAATCGCAGGTCAATGGTCACGGCCGATGCACTACCCTTATCAGATGAAGGACATGCCAAAGATTCCACCCAGATCAGGCGCCGGTGATTGGACCTAACAGTAATTCTGTACAACCTCACAGATGAACAACACTTTCCTTATATGGTAACGTAAGCAGAGAGCGCCAACACAACAGTTTCCGGATGGTACACCGGTGAAAGATTCAACCCAGATCAGTGGCCAGTGATTGGCGACCCACGCATTCCAGACCACCCAGTCATTCCAGACCGCCCAGTTATTCCAGACCACGCAGCATAACAAAACTCAGATGCATTAGTCGTAAAATCTAGTTCAGGCCTACTCTTTTGCGGTTCATTTTCAAGCTGGGCAAAATTCAACATGGCGGAGATCGCCGATATTTACTATAGAGATTTGCGCTCCGAGGTGCTCCTCGGGGGTTAATCCGCTGCTTTGTTTAGGGTCTTATTGCCCTGTTACGGCAGGTGAGGACGTTAGGAAGCCAGGGACACAAAAAAATGTATGTACAGAGTTTTCACACAAAGATATTCCATCCTTTGTCAAAAACCGATGCCCATAAAAATCGGGTGCTATTATCAAACCGATGGAACATCTTTGATCATGATAATCACGCCCTCACACGTATCTAACATGCAGCACGTCAGCAGTCGGAAATACGCTCCAGAGAAAACTGGCCTGTTTGTGCATTTCGTAAATCTAACACTGGATTGTAACTCTAACTAACCTCTGTGCTGCTTCACAATGTTTCCTCTTCTCAAATAGCTAGTATACGTAATGGTTAGACCATGGGCGGGGCAAGTGTACTGGGAAGTAGTGTTTCTGTGACAACAAGGGGACTCCATGATTCCCGAGGGTGTTGTTATATATCGTGGTGGAACTTTTTCTGTCCGCAGCTGTTTCTCACGGTGGGCTAGACGGATTTGTTTGGGGCTCGGTCTACATTTTGCTATTGAGCTGCAGAGGATGCGGAACGTTTTCTTTTAATTGTATATGTGTTTTAGGGCGTCCAAATAAAATAGTTAATTACGTTGAAGTGCTCCGGACACCCCCGCGGTCGTGAAAATGGTATTCTTAATTGATTTCCCTCTTAAGGACTGGGGCACGTGCACTGCCAGGTCTAACCATTCAAAAGGGGTCAAACATTGGGGGGCCTGAGTTCCGATAAAGATTTTGTTCTCGACCGATGGCAAGCGCGGGAAGGGGGTGCAGGGTGACGGCCTTACACGTCCACTCGTTACTCGATCCTGAACGCCCATAGCCCGTGTTTAAAGACCCTTCTCGGCCTCAGGCCCCGCTTAGATGGGAACAATAGCGCAATTCTGTCTTCCACCTCTGTTAACACGACGGTTGTCTTGGCCGCACCCGACAACACTGACCACCATAGCGGTATAGGGTACAGTTTGGGAACCACTACAGTTACGTTCAACTTCCATTGGATGAAAAAGTTAGCGACCGCGATAGAAATAAGGCAGTATTAAACACCATTGACAGTTGCATTTTTGAGCCCTACATTAGATACATCGACAAATTATAGATTTATTACTGCAAATACTTAACAAGTGCTTAAGCTACAGGAATTTTAGCTCAACCGGCGGAGCTAAAAACAGAGGACCACGTAACCCAAATTTTAGTATAAGTGCCTTTCATTAGAACCTACGTAAAACAGAGTCTCATTAATGTACCTACCTACATGGCAGTCTCAAAAACTCCTTTGCACTCGACATTTAGAAGGGTCTATCTAAGTTTTACACGAAAAAAAACAGACATCTGTCCACTTCATTCTGGTCACATGTGGAAATGTTTACAAGCAATGCTTACCTTTGCCCTCCCCAGCTTGGTGTTCATGCGCTGTAAGCAGGCCAAACCCTTTCACTTTATGTCTAAATCCGCAAAGGTATGTAACGTTACAAAACAAAATCAGTAACCCGTAGGTATGAAATCGTCGATTTCTCCTTTGTCATCAACTCCTGGCGGAGTATTCAGTTCGAATTCAGTCTTTTTTACATGTTAGCAGCGAAAACTAAAGGTTCCCTTTGTTATATCGGCATATAATTGGGTACGTCGTCTGTAGGCATGGCCATGATGATGCACGTATGTTTATTATTTATACCGTAACTGTTTTTTGTGTTTTGGTGTAATAGTTAAGGAACACCACTACATTTGGTAACGTTAGTTATCTGTAAAGTGTTGTTTCATTTGGGTGTCGGGTGTCAAAAGTTACTAATTTATTACCGCCCCTAGTATCAGACGCCTCTACTTATGACCTTCGTAATAAACTAAATCTTCAGTTGCCAAAATGTACCACAACCCGCTTTAAAAAATCATTCATTCCCTATGCAACGTATCACTGGAATAACCTTACCTTAGCAGACCGTTCACTGAGTTTCCCACGCTTCAAGAAAAAAATGATCAAATCTGTGCGCCCTGTCCCTGTTTCATACTTCAGTATAGGTCCCCGGTACACCTGCGCTCTTCTCACTCGTTTTCGACTTGGTACTCATAGTCTAAACTCTAATCTGTACTCTCGAAACCTGGTATCTAGTCCTGCTTGTACTTGTGGCCACCCCTGTAAAAGTATTCATCATTATCTTCTGCACTGCCCAAAGTTTACTCAATATCGTGTCTCCCTCTTCAGCAATTTAAACAAACTTGTAGGATTTGCCATCAACATCCAAAACCTTCCCGATAATCTCCTAGTACAATTACTGCTTAGAGGTTCCTTTTCTATGTCGGCTTCTAACAACGCTAAACTCTTACAGTGTGTTCAATTGTTTATAAAAGAAACGGAAAGATTTGAGTAACCATCAATTCCTTATCCTACCAGTTTGTTGTTTGACTTGGAATGCCTACTTATTCACTTATCACTTACCTGCATATACTGTTATATATTTTTAACATATTTTATGATTTAGTTATAATGCGGCTTACTTTAGTTTACCCTATTACTCTTATGCTTTGCATGTCTGTATTTGTGACTACATGTATATATCTTTGTAACGATGACGACACAAACATAAGCATTGTAGCTTGAGTATGTCGTCATCCTGTTTTGTTACTAAATGTTATAATAAATAAAAAAAGTTACTAATGATACAGATACGTGGTTTGCTCGATACGTTTCGTCGCCCACGGTTAAGGATTGATTGGGGGCAGTCCTGAGATGGTTCTGTACGGTGTATTTTCATGAAGTTGGGCATGTGGTATGTCGTTATGTCCGTGATGATGCACGTGTTTTTCTTTTTACCGTAGCTGTTTTTTTTATATTAAGGTAAATCAATATTATAGAAACACCGCTAGTTTCTGTATTGTTGTTGAAATGTTGTCGACCGGCCGGCAGCGTGCCTTGTCCGGCGTTACAGTTGACGCTTTTTACTTAGCCCGTCGGGTGCACTTGACACTGCTTACTTAGCTACTGTTCCCAATCTGCAAAATATAAAACTTCAAGGAAAGTTGTAGCCTATGGCTGTTTGTTTAGCCTTCAGGCTCATTTGAGCCGTCACTTCCAGAGTTTTAGCCTGAATAACCTGCAAACAGCGGAAAGACCTTCCGAACGGAAGTGGTTAATTATCGATGTTTATCTCTAAATCGGCACGCCCCTGCATAGAAGTGAACTATATATGGCCAAATTATGATCATAATGTCGATTACTTATAACGAATATCAACATGTAGTTTCGCACTGAGTTAGTGCCAGGCTAGTACACGTAGTACGGTGTAAAAGGGGGAGGGGTGTCATAGTTTAACGGTTGCATGATTCAGGGCCAAGGATGGCAAGTTGCAATAGTACGTGCTATGTGGAACACAATCGATGAGAAACAAAATCTTACTTATCAAATGGCGTTAACAAAGGTGTGTGTGGAAAGCACCTAGTGCTAAAAAGCTGCTCGCGTTCTAGTTAATATACCCAAATGTTTTATCTGGTTTGAGAAAAATATTAGGCCTTTCCAGTACCTATGGTGTGTTTTCCTATGTTTCTTTGTCGTTTCTGTGAATGGAGGCCTTTCTACGCCGCTCAACGGTCCCATGGAAGATTAATGCATTGTTGACAATGGTTGTAACCTTTAACCCAGAGTCAACACATAACACACCTGATCGACCAAATAAAGTGCCCTCTTTCGAAATCGTAGTGCTGTGCAGCACCTTAGATGCACAACACTAGCACTCATTGTCCACACGTGAACACATTGCGCCGTTGGCACATCCAACAACAGGTACAGAGACAAAGACTGTATTTTTATGGTGATTTTTACATTCATGGACGCATGACACCGTTTTGCAAGCTTTAGAATATGATCATATTCATCCCTAAGCAAAATAGTCATCTTGTTGATACATATTTCAGCTCATTTTTCCATCTTGCACCCGTAGGTGTCAGGAACGCAAGGAACATCCTCTGCGTTCGTTGGATGATTGTGCGAGGTGATGTGTAACGTGGTCACAAGTGCACGGTGTGGAGCTGCTGGATCTTAAAGTGATACCGTCACTGTTTTTACACCACACACAAAAAATGTGCCTTGTGGAGATTGCCTTTCTTTCTTCATCACGTATCCCATTGCCACGGAGTAGATCGGACTGATGTAACCGAAAGAAAAATAGAATCAGCTTTACGTTAATATTCCTGAACAAGTAATCTTACCAGGGGATCTTTGAATATCATCAAAGGAAGTTTGTAGTTTTGCCGAATATCGACGGTTTTCTGAGAACAAACAAAGATGGCAAGAGGACGGAATGAAGAGACAGGAAGACATGAAAGACATTTAGAGGGCCATAAGTCGCACCAACAGGATGATAAATCAAGTGGAAGAGAGTCCCTTAAGGGTTGCCCAGTTGGACCAGCAAATGAAGAGAGAAACAACATGAACAGTGATGAAAGAGACGGTTTGATAGCGAAACATCGTCGGAACAACCAAGTAGGTGGCACATTAGACAGAAATCTATCGCACAATGAGCTTGGAAAGACAGCAAGGATGAACCATTCGCTTAAAGAAGCAGGGGCAGGCCCTCATACAACAGACGAGAATGATTGCCCTATCAAACGTCAATCTCTGAAAGGAGCTTGGAATTTTGATTCATCAGGAAGTACTGCATGTGGGGCGCAGCATGCCCACGGGCACCCCGAGTTTGCTAATGACAACGTGGACGGGGTCAGTAGTGATCAACCATCAAGACATCAAGAAACAACAAGGATTCCGCCAAGTTCAAACCAATATCAGACAAGGAATTTGAGAACAGAAAGAGATCGACTTAACACTTATTTTGACTGGCCAAGAGATTCACCCGTGTCCCCAGAAGATCTTGCGAGGGACGGCTTTATTTACCAGTGTGCGTTCTGTGGAGGAGTCCTTCAGGAGTGGGAGGCGGCCGACGATCCGTTCATAGAACACGAGCGACACTACCCACGCTGTCCCTTCGTGAACGGAAGGGCGACGGCAAATGTCCAGCTTGGAGCGACATCACCGCAAACATCGCAGCCAAGGAGCAGTCACAGTAGAGCTCATTGTATCGTTATCAGCCAAACTAGTCAGCAATCGTCAACACCAGAACACGTCAGTCTGAGTCAGGTAACTCAAAGGACCGGATCGGGATATACGTCAGCATTTGCATTACCAGTAGAGACACAATGGCCAAAACTACCAGGTTTTGCGGATGAGGACAACCGACTATCCACTTTTCACAACTGGCCGGGGTATTATCCCATGTCACCACTGAGGCTAGTACGGGCCGGCTTTCTTTACACATGTAAGTTTCAATAATAAGTAGTT